GTGTGCTAGTCACTCAGTTGTATCCGACTCTGTGACCCCATGGACTGTAGGCCATCAGGCTCCTCTGTCCATGGGATTCTCCAGGCAAGAATACTGGAGTGGGTTGAATGCTCTTCTCCAGGGGAATCTTCCTGACCCAGGGATCGAACCCAGGTCTCCTGCATTGACAGGCAGATTCTTTACCATCTGAGCCACTGGAGGAGCTCAGCCGCTGGGGAAGTACAGTGACTATAGTGTTGTGTTAATTACTGCTATATTACAAAGTGATTCAGTTCTTCACACACATACATATATGTGTGTGTGTGTGTATATATACACACACACATACATACATTCTTTTTAAAAATATTCTTTCCCATTATGGTTTATCACAGGATATTGAATATAGTTTCCTGTGCTACGCAAAATAGGACCTTGTTGTTTATTCATTCTATGTATAAAAGCTTACGTCTGCTAATCCTGATCTCCCACTCCATCTCTCCTCCAACTCCCTTCTCCCTGGAAACCACAAGTTTGTTCTCTGTGTCTGTGAGTCTGTTTCTATCTCATAGTTAGGTTTGTACCGTGTTTAGTTACTCAGTTGTGTCTGACTCTTTGCAACCCAAGTAGCCTCTGACTCTTTGTGAACCTATGGACTTAGCCCACCAGGCTCCTCTGTCCATGGGGATTCTCCAGGCATGAATACTGGAGTGGGCTGCCATGCCCTCCTCCCGGCCATCTTCCCAACCCAGGGACCAAATCCAGGTCTCCTGCATTGCAGGCAGATTCTTTACCGTCTGAGCCATCATAGTTAGGCTTATTTGTGTCATATTTTAGATTCCACATGTAAGTGATATCATATGGTATTTGTCTTTCTCTTTCTGACCTACTTCATTTAGTATGATAATCTCTGGTTTCATCCATCTTGCTGTAAATGGCATTATTTTGTTCATTTTTATGGCTGAATAGTATCTCACTGTATATATGTATGTATGTACCATATCTTCTTTATCTATTCATCTGTTGATGGACATTTAGGTTTTTTCCTTGTCTTGGCTATTGTGAATAGTGCTGCTATGAACATAAAATATATTTCTGACCAAAACAAATGATCCTTTCATATGTTAGACTCTGGGAGAGAAAAGTAAAAGTGCTTCAGAACAAGTTTTAAATGTTTAATTCTTCTAAGAGCTATTTCTCCCAAGGTTTTAAAATTGTCAAATAGAGTTCTTCTGTTTAAAAAAACAACACCTTCTTAAGCAATAGATTTCTCTTGAAGGGTGTATGAATCTTTTTGAATTATAGTTTTTTCCAGATATATGCCCAGGAATGGGATTTCTGGATCATATGGAAATTCTAATTTCAGTTTTCTGAGAAACTTCCATACTGTTTTTCATAGTGGCTGCACCAGCTTACATTTCCACCAACAATGTAGGGTTTACCTCTTCCTTTTAACATTTCTGGCTTTTATAATGTACATAGTGGTACAGTAATACATGTAAATAAATAACAGTCATATATAGGACTATGAGGGGCTTCCCAGAGGGCACTAGTGTTAAAGAACCCCCTGTCAAGGCAGGAGACTTAAGAGACGTGGGTTTGGAAGAGAGCATGGCAACCCACTGCAGTATTCTTGCCTGGAGAATTCCATGAACAGAAGAGCCTGGTGGGCTATGGTCCATAGGGTCGCAAAGAGTCAGATACATATGAAGCGACTTAGAACGCACGCACGCATAGGACTGTGAACTCAAAAATTTCTGCTGGAGTGTGCAGTCAAAATGGTTTGGAGATGACTCACCTAGACTATTGCAGTTTGTCACCATGCCTTCAGTCCAGCTTCCTTACAATCCTATTCTTCATTATGAGTTAATACAAGTAAAGTGTTCAGAATAAACTAAGCACTATATGTGTCAACTATTATTATTATCCTATTCCCAAAATTAACTTTCTGCTACCTCTCAGATCCTCATAATCATGCATCTGGACTTTAATTTAGAAGTCTTTAATAAGTAAGCCAGTTCTCATATTAGGATTTCCTGGCTTCTGGTCTGCTTTGCCAAGCCTATGTGAGCACAGGCTGACACTCTGGGCTCTGGCTGGTTAGAGGAGAAAGACTGCTGTGGTCAACCACCTCAGCAAGATGTGATCAGTCTGCTTCCAGCCTGTTCCTTGATCTCCTCCTCCAGCACGTGTCACTTCCCTAAATCACACAACTGGTTATGTCATTGTCCAGTGTAAAAAAGCTTGTGAACTTTAGACTATCTATAAAATAAGGTCCACATTCCATTGGGAGAATGAGGCGAATAATTGGTTGAGAAGTTGCTACCTAGGATTTGTAGAGTTTTGTGTTCTGCTCTATTTGCTGAAAAAAGGAAGAAGAGCACAGTGTTAAGGCTTCAGAGGCAAGTGGCATGAATTCAAGCCCATCCCTATTATGTGTGGTCTTGGGTAAATCTCTTCCTGTCTCCATGACTTGCTTTTCTTCTATGCAAAATTGCATAATGATACCTGCCTTATAGGATTGTAAGATAACACATTTCATATTCTTGGGAACCAATAGGTTCTTAATAAAGGGTAGCACTTGAAAAAAAAGTTGAAGTATGGTTGAATTACAATGTATGGTAGTTTCTGATATATAGCAAAATGATTCAGTTTATATATATATATGTGTGTGTGTGTGTGTGTGTGTGTGTGTGTGTGTGTGTGTGTGTGTGTGTGTATTCTTTTTCAGACATTTTTGAGTATGGTTTATTACAGGATATTGAATTTAGTTCCCTGTGTCATATAGTAGGGCCATTGTTTATCTGTTTAATGTATGGTAGTGTGTATCTGCTAATCTCAAACTCCTCCACTCCCTCTCCCCTTTGGCAACCAGATTTGTTTGTTATGTCTGTGAGTCTGTTTCTGTTTTGTAAATAAGTTCATTTGTATCGTACTTCAGATCCCACGTGAGTGACATAACATGGTATTTGTCTTCTCTGACTTCATATAGTGTGATCCTCTCTAGGTCCATCCATGTTGCTGCAAATGGCAGTTTCATTCTTTTATGGGTGAGTAATATTCCAGTGCATACCACATGTTCATTGTTTAAATCAATTTTATATTGGAGCACAGATGATTAATAATGTTGTACTGGTTTCAGGTGCACCCCTAAAGTGATTCAGTCACACATATGCATGTATCCATTCTTTTTCAAGTTGCCCATTTAGGCTATCACAAACTATGGAGCACTGTTCCTGTGCTAAACGGTGGGTCCTTGCTGGTTACTTTTAAAAATTAACTTTTATGGGAGTACAGTTGATTTTCGATGCTGTGCCAGTTTCCACTGCACAGCAAAGCAACCCAGCGATACACATACATACACTTTTTTCCCAGTTCTTTTCCCAGATAGATCATTACAGAGTACTGAGTCGACTTCCCTGTTCTGTACAGTAGGTTTCTATTAGTTATCTGTTTTACATATAATAGTGTGTATCTGTTGAGCCCACTCTCCCTGTTTATCCTTCCCCATATTTTCCCCTTAATTTTCTATATCTGTGACCATATTTCTATTTTGTAAATAAGTTCATTTGTACCATTTTTTTTAGGTTCTCCATATAAGAAATATCATTGTTTATCTTTGTCTGATTTACTTCACTCAGTATAATGACCTCTCAGTCTATCCATGTAACTGCAAATAGCATTACCTCATTCTTTTTATTCCTGAGTAATATTCCACTGTATATCCTACATCTTCTTTATCCTTTCATCTGTTGATGGACATTTAGGTTGGTTCCATGCCTTAGGTATTATAAATAGTGCTGCTATGAATGTTAAAATGCATATATCTTTCTGAATTATAGTTTTCTCCAGATATGTGCCCAGGAGTGGGATTGCTGGATCGTATGGTAACTCTATTTTTAGTTTTTTAAAGAATCTCCATACGGTTTTCCATGGTGGCTGCATCAATTTACATTCCCAGTTGGTAACACTTTCATTTGTAATATTTCCACACCATGAGAAAGTCTTCACTAATGGGATATTTAGCATATCCTAGTTAGAGAAGATTTCTTGAAAGAAATGACAGCAAGCTGGGAGCTGACATAAATAGGAGTGTTGCAGGCTCTGACGACAGAGTATAGTGTGGCGTGGCTGAAGTAGAGACAGAACTGGGAGGGCAAGATGAGGCTGGAGAGCTAGTCCAGAGTCAGGGAAAAGAATATCTTCTCTTTTTTATGATATTGCAAAGTTTTCTATTCAATTGCAACCAACTTTATTTCCATAAACTAGCACATGCAAAGACCACTCCATACCACACTCAGAAAACTAAAGCAGCATCTTTATTTTATACATACAAACAGTATAAAATGTTTATGTAAGAGCTGTGTTTTGTTTACAATATATTATATTGCTTCAAGCCAATGCCAAAAGTTCATACATATATTCCCTATTTTATTGTGTTTACAATATATTATATCGTTAAATGTCACTACCACAGTGTTATTTCTTTCTCTTTCTTTTTTAATACTGAATTCTCTGGAATCATGATAAGGTCAAAATGTATTGTGAGTTTAAGGGGAATTTTTAAAATGTGACAAATGTCTAAATACATAACAAAATAAGTTGAAATGCTAAAACTTCAGCACTTTCAACTGCTTCATCCAAACCCTTGTGATTTATGCATTTTTGTTCCAGTTATCTTCTCTAATGTTGCCCAGCCCCTCAATACCATGAATACATTGTACTTTTGGAAATTATCTGCCAAGTACACATTGAAAAGACAAAAATTTAACCTGAACAACTGACATAACATAAAGTTGGTCCCAAAGCACCGAAACAAGAAAATCTATACCATCATGCTACAGATGTACTTAGAAAACTTAAAAGGAAGAGTAAATATCAGCTCAGTGATTTATAATGAAGCTAATAAAATTCAGGCCAGTATTCTTAACTGTAATAAACATTATTTGAACATTCAACACATGAAAGGTTAACAAAGGCTATGAACTTGGTGTAACTTAAAATGTTTCAGATGTCGGAGTTCACCAGATGTAATTGGATTCAGGCGGGTCCTGCCGCTCCTTGGCCTTCTTAACTGAAGGCGTGTGCTGCCTGAGCCGGGCGCCGGCTGGCCTCAGGGCATGCAGGAGGCTGGCTCCATACCCTGCAAAATTATTCACAGCTTAAAAGAAAAGAAACTACAAAAACACGCTCTTCAGATCCATTTTCACCATTCAAATAAAATCCATTTTCTCTTTCCAACCCAGAGTGAAAGACCACAGCGACCACAAAAAGCTACCTGAATGATGAGATGTTACAGGTTCAAGATCTCTTTTAAAAGAAATTCATTTTACTAACTCCATCAAATCTGGCTTCCATTGAATCTCTGATTCACTATATATTTTGGTCATGCCACGCTTGAAGCGAACTTGGGATGAATGTTATTGAATGAAAGGATTCTCCATCCAAGGGCTAGTAAGGATCGAGCACTGAGGTCCCATTGCAGAGAATGTTGTCATTGATCCTTTCGTTGCCTTGCAAAACCAACCTCCATTATTATTGATCTGCTTCAATAATAACAACCCCCATTCTTCATACAGATCACATGATTAGGCATGGCTATTGCATTTATCCAGAATAGGAATTTTATAAAAATTAAGGACTTCCGTAAGTCAGACAGAGAAGGAGAATTATTGTATGACATCCTTCATATGTGGAATCTAAAAAGAAATGATACAAACAAATTTACTTACAAAAAAGAAAGAGAGTCAGACTAGAGAATGAACTTATGGTTGCAGGGGGTGAAGGAGAAGGATGGGTAGAAGGGATAGCTAGGGAGTTTGGGATGAACATGTGCACACTGCTATATTTGAAATGGACAACCAACAGGACTGCATAACAAGGGCTCTCAATGCTATATGGCAGCCTAGATGGAAGGTGAGTTTGGGGGAGAATGGCTACATTTACATGTGTAGCAGAGTCCCTTCGCTATTCACCTGAAACTATTACAACATTATTAACTGGCTATACCGCAATACAAAATAAAAATTTAAAAAAATGAATCAATCTAAAAGAACTTAGGAAAAGAGAAGTATTAAAAAAAAAAAAGGTGCTTCCAGTACACAGATTAGATAAGGGCCAGGATTTGAACTGACTCCTTCTCAGTGGGCGTTTGTGAGCTTTGGTCAAGATGGGTGTCTACTGATAGCATTTCCAGTTCATCATAAGAGGAGTGTAACACAATTATACAATGTCAGTTGTGAGCTACACAACTCAAGGCTTCTTTTCTTATTACTTACGAACTTCTGAAGATGCCTGGATCGCTGACTCACTTCTGCTGATTTCCTAAAACTGATCTAAGACAGCAGTTAAAAGTCTGCCTCCATCTTCCTGTGCATTAGAGTCAAGTTTGGCATTGCATTTGTTCCCTGTGGTTTTTAAATGCAAGAATGCCATTAAGTCACTGCTGAGAACAGAATACTTTGTTCCTGAATGCTTTTCTTTGAATTGTCCAGTATGTAGGCTAGTAGCTCATGGACCCGCGAAAACAATGAGCCAACAATCCCTATCCCGCTGCTCACCCTGCCACCCATGAAGCAGAGCCCAAGCCAGGAAGTCTGTCTCCAGTATTCTCCCTCCCAACTAGGATGTCTGGGTGCCTGGGACCTCCCAATGTGTCGCCCCACTGGGAATCTGTTCTTAGCACAACTGTGCCTCACAGCTTCCTTGTCATCTCCTTTTAAGCAAAATTAACCTCATTCTTTCAGCCTGATTCTCTCAGCCACTGTACAAAATGGCTGGGGGGCCTCTTCTGTAAAACATGCTTGCATTTTAATCAAGCACCAAGGCATCTTCTTGACATGCATGCCTGAATCTGAAGGCGGCCGAGATGACAAAAGCTTTCAGCAGCCAAGTCTACAAGCGAGGGTGCTCCTGGGGCTGGCAGACCTGTCAGAACTGCTCATCTAAACTGCATGCATGAGGGCCTCTCACTCGCCTCCTGGGAATGGTTAATTTTCTATAGGTCTTTTACCTGAAGGAAGGTCCCTTTCTGCCCCATTTGGTACCATTCCATCATTCCCACCTGGGTAAAGGAGCCATTTTCCGGAGGAACTCCACTTTTTAAGCTATGTCCACCTGAAGCCAATTCAATCTACCATCCAGTGAAGCAACAGTGGGAAAAAAAAGACTCAAATCAATGGCTCAGTGTAGCCTAGGCCAGACACCAATATACTTTAAGACAAACAAACATGTAAAGCTACACATAACTGGTTTTATACATATCAGAATAGTACAATGTGAGTTATAGAATATGTACAAAAAGTAAGAATTAGAGATTGGGATATATAACTATACATATAAAATTTCTACCTAAATGTAATAAAAGAACATAAAATATTTTTTAAAATGTCTTCAAACTAATATTTTCCCTCAGCACCCCAGATGATCATTCCACACTCACTGGGCTATATGCATCACCCTTTGGAGACCAGTGATTTAGAAAAAACACCTGATATGAAAGTGATCTGTTCACTTTGTGTGCATTATTTTGGAAACAATTTGATAGGCACAATCTGGACTTCTATTAATCAAGGGAGCTGCATGACTGAATGAAGCCTTCCTTTGCCCACAGAAAGTAGCAAGTGGATCCATCCTCAGGAGAGAGAGTTCAAGCTGCAGGATGAACCTGCAGAGATGCATTATTTATTTCCTCCACTTGCTGATCGACTGCCCCTTCCTCTTGAATCTGGGCCCCACCAGGCAGGATCTTTTCTGTCTGGTCACTGGTGTGTTTTCAGTGCCTGGATCCATGCTTAGCACAGAGACGATATCAATCAAAACAGAATGATTGAATTTAGCAACTTTAACTTTCATTTTGTGTATAAAGCAGACCAGTGGTTTATTATCCTATAGCCAGTCCATGTTGGGTGGTAAGTAAATGTGGAAAAAATACAACTCCACGTTAACATCTCTCCTGTACTTCACAGACCTTTTCTCTCCCTCAAAAGAACGCATTTAAAGCATCCCACAACCAACACAGTGTAAAGATTTTACACAGCAAAACTCTTCATGTTCTAATGCTCCTTGATCAATCCTGAATGATAAAATGAGAACCGTGTAGCTACTGATCTACATGTGATTTAGAAATCTTACTCCTTTCTATTAAAGTTAACATACCATATTACCAAACCAACCTGTAGTACTAATTTAACCTGGAAAATATCTGTGGTGATGTTTTACAGATGTAGTGGTATTTTACAGTGATGCTTTCTTTCCTTTACATGCGAAAGCTAGAGAGTTCTGGTGGTGGTGGTGGAGGCGGGGGGGGGCACTAGAGAGAACAGGAAGAGGAGAAGTTGGCTTTATGCAGCGGAAAGCAGGGCTGAGTTATGGCTTGTCTGTCCTGGCTGTTGGAGCCAGGAGATAGACGTGCAAGGGTCTGGCTCCGCAGACAGTTCACACTCACTTTTATTGCAGTGCCTCCCATGCCAGCCCTCCTGACACTGGCATTTGTTGGGTTCATGGCAGGTTCCGCGTGTACCACAGCCAGGCTTGCAGACAGCTAGAGTCAAAGGAGATAGAGAGAATATTTCCTGAGCTGTCACTGGTTAACAGATTTACGCAGCCGACTTTCCTGCAGTTCTTTCGAATGTGTTAGTTTTGGCTTCATCCCTTCATGTGTTTTTCTAAGTCAGTCTCCAGCTAGAAGTCAGTTTTGGACTCTCCTGAGTCAGTCCTGAAAGTGATCTAGACTTGATGTTTCTCATTGACAAAAGACACTCAGGAGGACATTGAAACTGCTAGGCAATGGAAGTTTATCTTCCTTAAGAATATTCCTAATAGTTAAAAAGTTTGGTGGTGTGTGCAAATGTGTCTTAAGTTTTTTTTTTTTTTTACATGCATGGATTTCACGTCTTTGGTCTACCTCAAGAAACATAAATGTCACTGAAGAAAGGTTAATTGTGATGCCTCAGCAACATGCAGTAGGTACAGAAGTTAGGAAGTAAGGAAGAAGAGATCCCTGCTAGTTTAACTATCCCATAACACAGGTCGGCTGCATGTACAGGGTACTTACGCTTTGAACAGAGGTCTCCTTGGTAACCTTTGGAGCACTTGCATTTGTTTTTACCAATGCATTTACCTCCATTTCGACAGGGCTGTGGGCATTTGCCTGAAATAGAAGAATGCAAATAAGCAAGGAACTCTGTTCTCCTTTCAGAGGCAATTACGTTTTCTCAAAGGAATTGCAAGGCTTTGAGAGGATCAATGCTTTTAAGTGACAGTTATTTCCACTTATCTCAGATCAACCCTGGCTTTGTTACTGTTTGAGCTTCGTTTTGGGGACAAATAGGCTCATATTTTTACTTATGATTTTGCATATGAATCTTCCACAATGAATATTGTTCAAATGCTGTATTTGCATCACTTTTTTGACAATGTTTTAACTGATTCATAAAAACTTGTAATTTAAGATATATTAAAAGTGAAGATATGGGTGGCCCCCTAAGTGATCTTTCCTCTGCGTTCTGATTTTTGTATGTCACTATTTCTGAAAGCAGACCTATACCTGGACATGATGACTTCTGCCTTAGCCTAGGATTCTCCAGAAATCAGGACCTGCATGCAGAGTTTATCTGGGGAAGTGATCCTTGGAATGAGGAGTAGGGGGCAGGAAGAGTAAACAGCAGAAGAGAAAAAGCCAACACAAAAGTATGTTTGTAGGTTGTTCATCACTACAGGCAACTGGGCTCTATTCTGCAGCATCTTTCTGAGGAGTGAGGTAGATGGACTGCTCCTTCAAGTTGCCTGAAGGAAGGGAGAGGGGAGCGTTTATTCATCTGCACCTGTGTCCACTGACCGAAGGTCACCCCATGGAATAACTTTCTTGAATTTCTAGTCTGTGACTACAGATTACATACGTATAATCTGTATACATGTGTAGCTGCTCAGTCATGTCTGACTGTCAAGAGTCTTCCCCAACACCACAGTTCATCAATTCTTCGGTGCTCAGCTTTCTTTATGGTCCAGTTCTCACATTCATACACTACTGGAAAACTATAGCTCTGACTATACAGACCTTTGTCGGCAAAGTAATGTCTCTGCTTTTTAATATGCTGTCTAGGTTTGTCATGGCTTTTCTTCCAAGGAGCAAGCACCTTTTAATTTCATGGCTGCGGTGACCATCTGCAGTGAATTTGGAGCCCAAGAAAATAGTCTCTCACTATTTCCATTGTTTCACCATCTATTTGCCATGAAGTGATGGGACTGGATGCCATGATCTTCATTTTTTGAATGCTAAGTTTTAAAAGCCAACTTTTTCACTCTCCCCTTTCACTTTCAACAAGAGACTCTTTAGTTCCTCTTCACTTTCTGCCATAAGGATGGTGTCATCTGCATATCTGAGGTTATTCATATTTCTCTCCACAATCCTGATTCCAGCTTGTGCTTCATCCAGCCCTGTATTTTGCATGATGTACTCTGCATATAAGTTAAATAAGCAGGGTGACAATATACAGCCTTGACATACTCCTTTCCCAGTTTGGAACCAGTCTGTTGTTCCATATCCGGTTCTAACTGTTGTTTCTTGACCTACATATAGGTTTCTCAGGAGGCAGGCAAAGTGTTCTGGTATTCCCATCTCTTTAAGAATTTTCCAGTTTGTTGTGTTTTATATATATATTCAGTACTCAGGAGTCTCTGGTGGGAAACAAGAGACATGTGGCTCAGCTCAGGTGCAATCAGCCTATGTTTGTACAGAACAGGTCATAGCAGTGATGGAGGGAAAGGCTGGCTGAGAAGGACATGAGGTGGGGCACACCAAGTCCTTGATTCCACACCTGGGCATTTTTCTGGAATGTCTCAGATCCTAATGATACTTCATGCTTTTATCTCTGTGCCAAATGAGGAGTGCTGATATTTTCACAGATCTCTGCATCCCAGGATTTTAGAACTGGATGTAGATGTAAAAATCATATTTTTCTTCTTTCTTACTTCTGAAGCCATTTATTCTCCGTTTGCAATCTAGAATTTGCCATCCTAAGGCTGAAGTTTTTTCCGGGTAAGCATTATGCTTGACAGACATGAAGTGAATCCCATAAGAAAATCATTTTGCTAAAAACACTTTCTTTTATTTATCCAAAATGACTTTCCTCACATATAAATAAACCAACATGTACTCACTGTGGAGATTAGAGAGACAATTGAGATGTTAGTGTCTCTCAGAAAATTGAAATGCCATTACAGCTATAGGCTTTTCTGACACAGGGATGTTTCACAGAAAGGTATTAAAACAACCTTAATACTTGAATGCCACCTTTCTATCAACCATTAAAATCCAAAAGAACACTTTTTGCTAGGTCTGGACACAAAGAATAGCATTTACTCTGTGGTCAAGATCCAACTTCAATTTAAGGAAAGGAATATCTAACTCTGAATTTCCATTTGTATCAAAGGAACATCTGATCCCATCATATGCTCAAAATTGGATTGTATCACAGTACTCTGCAATGCACTGGGGTTTTTCAACTAAGCAAGATGTGGGACAATAATTATATGGCAGAAAAGATAGAGGATGTATTGTAAATTACTTCGAGGGCCCAAGGTTCCCCATATTCTATGAGATGCGAACTTAGTATCCAGACAGAATGGAGAGAATGGCTGATAGAATCTTTTCATTGCCTCCAAGGATGTTTTTGTTCCCTTGGCAAGAGGTGAGTGAGGACCCTGAGACTCACTGCAGCCAGCAAGGAAGATGTTCTCTCCTGGTTATCACAGAACAGAAATCTCTCTGCAGGTGACTGTTAGAAGGCCATTCCTATATCAAACCTCTTGGAGCCAAAATATCATGAAGGGATGACTGTTTTAAAGTTCCGAATTCTATAAATATCTTTAGTATAGACTTCCTTTTCCTAAAACTATATTGCAAACCAATTCTTATCATTGGACAGTGGAAACCTGAGTCAACGTGAGAGATCACACATTTTTACCCAAAGGAGACTAAGCACTGCCTGAAGACAGATAGATTTGACTAATTCTAAACAGTTTGAATTTTACCTATAACCAGTGAGGACAGTGAGATAAGGTATTGACAAAATAAAGATATTAAACTTCCTCCACCCATCAGATTGTGAAGTAAATTTGTGACTATCCTTCACATAGAAAAAAGATTAAAGTGGTTTACCATAAGTGCAAACAACTATCATCTCTGGGTCTTAGAATTTTACAAGTGATTTTTAACTGTTTTATCCAAAATTTTAATTTTTTATGGCAAACACTTTATATAGATTACCTTTACAATAATAAAACCCATTAAGGTATTAAAAAACTCACTTACAGTACAGTATAAATAATTTGGTTTTTTAAACTGAAGGTTTGTTAAGGAATCTTATAATGTTTATGAACCTTAAAGAACAAGAAAAACATATGTACATATATCCAGATACTTCTGATCATCATCTTATTCATTAACCTGCAAGTATATCTCACAATCAAGTCAGAATGAAGTTTGAGAAGCCATCAACTTTGATAGAGGCCAGGAGAAATGATAATAGCGTCAGAATACATATTTTATTTTAAAAAGACAATAACAAATATTGGTAAGGATATGGAGAAATTGGGACCCTTGTACATTACTGGTGGGAATGTAAAATGGTACAGCCACTTTGGAAAATACTTTGGCAGTTCCTCAAAAAATTAAAGAGTTAACATATGGTCTAGCAATTCCACTCCTAGGTACACTCAGGAGAACTGAAAACATGTTCACACAAAAATTTATACACAAATGTTCATAGCAGCACTACTATTTATAGTAGCCCTAAAGTGGGAACAGCCCAGGTGCCCATCAGCTGATGGATGGATAAACAAAATGTAGTTGATATATCCACACAATGGAATATTATTTAGCAAGTAAAAGGAAGTAATGATATATGTAACAATAGAGGTGAGCCTTGAAAATATGCTAAGTGAAAGAAGTCAGACATAAAAGGTCATATATTGTATAATTCTGTTTATATGAAATATCTAATACAGGCAAATCTAAAGAGACACAAAGTACATTGGTGGATTCCAGGGGTTTGGGGTGAGGACCATGAGGAGTGACTGCTGATGGGAATAGGGTTTCTTTGGGGGATGGGAACATATTCTAGAAGTAGATGCTGCCCAACTTTGTGAATATAATCAATATCAATTGTATGCTTTAAAATAGTGAGTTTTACATATGTGAATTATATCTCAAGTTAAAAATAAGATATATAATTCAACTTTTTGTCTCTATTACACTATAGGCACTTTTCAGTACAAGGCCCATTTTAATTTTTCCTGATAATATGGTTCTGGTGATAGAAAAAAAAATTTCCTAAAAGGATTTGAGTATAACTTGTGATGGCAATAATCAAGAGCTTTCAAAGGCCCACATTTTTGGTGCAATTAGGGGAAAAAAAAAAAAAAGAATAGAAAACATTATCTCTGCCAATGGAAAGGTCATAAACCTAAGGGCATGAAAGAGCATATGTCCATGAAGAAAAAGGAACCCATGAACAAAGATTCATAGACATGAACCAATTAAGTATGTGAAGTCTGAGTGTAAGTGTGTGGAGAAAATTGAGGGGAGTTAGTTCAGAGATATCTTTATCAGGGTAGGGTAATTAATAAGAACAGAAACCACATCCTGACAATTAATTACATGTTCTATGAAAACTTCAGAAGTATTTCATTTGAACTCTATTAAAAAAAAAATAGTCACTTCAGCTATTACTCATTAAAGTGAAAAAATCCCCACAAACAAATTAGAGGTTGAAAGTTAAAATAAGTCAGTATTATTTAATTCTGAGCCCAGTACAACTTCAGAAACTATGGCTAGAGCAAACACAGTGGTGTTTTATGGATATAATACAGCTGGAGGTGAAAATGCCATATTGCAGAACTTCCAGAAAAGTAGGGACATGCTCACTCACATTCCTTTTGTTTCTTCCTGAGCCAGGCTTTGTTGTTATCTGTTTTCTGGGTCACAGAGCAATCTAGGGTGAGGTTGGCTCATTTATGAGTTGAGCAGAGAGCTTCAGTGACGGGAAGGTAACAGGGCCAGGGCAAAGAGTTTGGTATCCTGATTCCCAAAACAATGATTATCCACCACATTCCACCGTTAAATTTGTATTTTTTTTTTTTTTTGGTATCACAGCATGACAAGCATCTAGAGAAGGCATAATGTGCATTGATTTTAAGTTTATCAATTAACTATTTTTTGTTTTATCATAAATAATCACTTAAAAGACACTTCCTCAATCTCGATACAGAGCATTTTAGGCACACCATAAGTTCTGTTGTGCCCCCAATCACTATTATGGTTTCTATGATCATCTATTACTTTTGCCTGTTCTTGAACTTCATAAAAATGGAATCATGCAGCATGCATTTTCGTGTGTCTAACTTAGCATAACATCTGTGCAATTCATTCATGCTGTTGTGTGTGCTATTAGATGTTTTTGTTTTTTATTGCTCTTTGCCTTACTTCCCTCCTTTTTCTTGAGTCTATCCTTTTCTCTGAGATGGATTACCAGGCTCTGTCTGGTTGGAACATGTGGCAGTGAGTGCCAGAGCGGGGGAAAGAAAAACTCTCTATGCCTGCAGGTAAGTGAACAAATTCCAGCTGTCCTAAAGCTCTGGTCTACATTTCTAGTCTGAAACTATGGACTCTCCACAAGAAACAGTGCAACCTGGAGAACAGCGCAAAACCGAGTTTTTGCAGAAAAACCAGAACATAACCGAGTCAGAGTGTTTGAGTCATCTGAGCCGGTCTCTGTCCCTCCTCCACCCACCGTTAGCCGACACAGATGGCGGTGAATCTAGTAAAAAGCAGCCACTGGCCTCCTGAGCTGGTCTATGTCCCTCTACCCCACCGTTAGCCGACGTGGATGGCGGTGAATCCAGTAAAAAGCAGCCACTGGCCTCCTGAGCTGGTCTATGTCCCTCCTACACCCACCGTTAGCCGACACGGATGGCGGTGAATCTAGTAAAAAGCAGCCACTGGCCTCCTGAGCTGGTCTATGTCCCTCGTCCACCCACCGTTAGCCGACATGGATGGCGGTGAATCCAGTAAAAAGAAGCCACTGGCCTCCTGAGCTGGTCTATGTCCCTCGTCCACCCACCGTTAGCCGACATGGATGGCGGTGAATCCAGTAAAAAGAAGCCACTGGCCTCCTGAGCTGGTCTATGTCCCTCGTCCACCCACCGTTAGCCGACATGGATGGCGGTGAATCCAGTAAAAAGCAGCCACTGGCCTCCTGAGCTGGTCTATGTCCCTCCTCCACCCACCGTTAGCCGACATGGATGGCGGTGAATCCAGTAAAAAGCAGCCACTGGCCTCCTGAGCTGGTCTATGTCCCTCCTACACCCACCGTTAGCCGACACGGATGGCGGTGAATCTAGTAAAAAGCAGCCACTGGCCTCCTGAGCTGGTCTATGTCCCTCGTCCACCCACCGTTAGCCGACATGGATGGCGGTGAATCCAGTAAAAAGAAGCCACTGGCCTCCTGAGCTGGTCTATGTCCCTCGTCCACCCACCGTTAGCCGACATGGATGGCGGTGAATCCAGTAAAAAGCAGCCACTGGCCTCCTGAGCTGGTCTATGTCCCTCCTCCACCCACCGTTAGCCGACATGGATGGCGGTGAATCCAGTAAAAAGCAGCCACTGGCCTCCTGAGCTGGTCTATGTCCCTCCTACACCCACCGTTAGCCGACACGGATGGCGGTGAATCTAGTAAAAAGCAGCCACTGGCCTCCTGAGCTGGTCTATGTCCCTCGTCCACCCACCGTTAGCCGACACGGATGGCGCCTGAATCCAGTAAAAAGAAGCCACTGGCCTCCTGAGCTGGTCTCTGTCCCTCCTCCACCCCACCGTTAGCCGACACGGATGGCGGTGAATCCAGTAAAAAGCAGCCACTGGCCTCCTGAGCTGGTCTATGTCCCTCCTACACCCACCGTTAGCCGACGTGGATGGCGGTGAATCTAGTAAAAAGCAGCCACTGGCCTCCTGAGCTGGTCTGTGTCCCTCCTCTACCCACCGTTAGCCGACGTGGATGGCGGTGAATCTAGTAAAAAGCAGCCACTGGCCTCCTGAGCTGGTCTATGTCCCTCTTCCACCCCACCGTTAGCCGACGTGGATGGCGGCTGAATCCAGTAAAAAGCAGCCACTGGCCTCCTGAGCTGGTCTATGTCCCTCCTCCACCCCCCGTTAGCCGACGTGGATGGCGGCTCAATCTAGTAAAAAGCAGCCACTGGCCTCCTGAGCTGGTCTATGTCCCTCCTCCACCCACCGTTAGCCGACGTGGATGGCGGCTGAATCTAGTAAAAAGAAGCCACTGGCCTCCTGAGCTGGTCTATGTCCCTCCTCCACCCACCGTTAGCCGACGTGGATGGCGGCTGAATCTAGTAAAAAGAAGCCACTGGCCTCCTGAGCTGGTCTATGTCCCTCTTCCACCCACCGTTAGCCGACACGGATGGCGGTGAATCTAGTAAAAAGCAGCCACTGGCCTCCTGAGCTGGTCTATGTCCCTCTTCCACCCCACCGTTAGCCGACACGGATGGCGGCTGAATCCAGTAAAAAGCAGCCACTGGCCTCCTGAGCTGGTCTATGTCCCTCCTCCACCCACCGTTAGCCGACGTGGATGGCGGCTGAATCTAGTAAAAAGAAGCCACTGGCCTCCTGAGCTGGTCTATGTCCCTCTTCCACCCACCGTTAGCCGACACGGATGGCGGCTCAATCTAGTAAAAAGAAGCCACTGGCCTGAGACCTTAGACAAGCTATTCTTTGTCTCAGGGCTTCAGGTTCCTCATCAATAAAATGAAGGGGTTAGATGGTGCTTCTAATGTTCCCTACCCCAAACAAAGACATTGCAGGTCAGTACTCACTTATTTCACACTGTTCTCCCTCTAGTCCTGGAGGGCAAATACACTTTCCTGGGTAGAAACAGGTCCCTCCATTAAAGCAGGTGGCTGAGCAATTTGCTGTTAGAATGAATAACAGGGTATCGCATTAGATAGTCACTTAAATCTAACAACATTTCATCAAGGCTAAGTGATACTTCTTAGGCATCTGCTACTTGCCCATTTACTTATTTAATAAAATAAGCCATATTACCCAGACAGCAGTGGTAATCAATTGCTTGACCATTTGCAGATTCAGGCAACATAACAGGATACCACACACATGACACCAGACCCACCTCTAGGGGTTTGCCTCTAGGCTGTCTGGTTGGGAAATGGCAACAGTGGGTAAAAACAAATATCTTTTTAATTTTATTGTAAATATCTATGCTCTTAAAAGGAGAAGAATGCTATAAACCTAAGAAAATATTTAAGATGAATGAAGAGTAAAAGGAGAAAACCTTCTTCAGAACAGATAAAAGGGAGAGAAGTCATAAATATTAGGATTGGACAAAGGAGAAAGCAACTTTTTTCCTGATTAAGAACAGAGATGCATCGTCTATAACAGAAATTTTTGAAAAAATAAGTTTTTATGACGTTTGCAAGAAAGAGTAATTATATTTCAGGAAAGGGCAGTCTATTCCCCTTTATGAGATCGTGTAGGCAGGGAAGTGGCAGCAGCATGAGGTGGAGGGATGAAGAAAGTGGGTATGTGATTGTGGGAGTCCAATAAACTAGATTTTCCAGGTGATAATCATACTGCTGGTAATTCATCCTAAACCCTCCTTATTAGAGTCAGCTTCTGGAGTTTCACTGCTCACTGGCACCTAAAATAGAGGGAGGACAGAAATGAGAATGGGGGAGAGCAAGTATCTAAAAATAGACAAGTTGGCTCATTCTATAAAGGAGATGAAAATAAGAACTCAGCTATTCCAGTTTTATGGCCTATTTGTTCTTGGCCTATATAAAACAGGCCAAAATTGGCTGTAGGTGAATGAAAGCTGGAATAAGCATCCAGGAAGAAAATCAGAAAGGATTTCCAAAAGTTCTAAGTGTGTGCTTTCTTTGTGGAAATGAAATCCAACAAGAATATTCTATGAATATCATGTTTCCTAAATGATAAAGCTTTTGTTAAAAATCGTAAGCATCTCCTAGCTTAAGGCCATGCTGTACTTGCCTTGGCAAAATCAAGCTTCCTGTCATAGAGGGTAACAGCAGCACTGGAGGACAGAATTTAGGATTTAGGAAAATCATTTTTTTGAGATTCCTCTTTGTTACTTGCTGCTAATATTGTTGAAAGTGAAGTGTTGCTCAGTCCTGTCTAATTCGCAACCGCATAGGCTGTAGCTCACCAGCCTCCTCTGTCACGGAATTCTCCAGGCATGAATACTGGAGTGGGTAGCCATTCCCACCCTTCTCCAGGGTATCTTCCCCACCCAGGGATCGAACCCAGGTCTCCTCATTGCAGGCAACTACCATCTGAGCCACTGAAACTAACATTAGGGCTGGATCTTTTTTTTTTTAATGGAATATTTCACGAATTTGCCTGTCATCCTTACACAGGGGCCATGCTAATCTTCTCTGTACTATTCCAGTTTTATCATGTGTATTGCCAAAGCGAGCATAGGACAGTTGTTTTTGTGAGCATGTCCTATCTACCCACTTGTCCCTGTTTCTCCTGGGGACAATAGGAGATGAGAAAACATCAGGATCTGTGTCCACTTGGCTGGATCTCCCTAGACACTATCCCTACTAACATGTAGAATGCAGTGAACCTAGGAGTTTAATTAAAAGTTACAGAATGTGACAAACATCACAAATGTGTCAAAATTATTATTGAATCTGGCCACACCCTTAATATTTGCATAATACTGGAGCTTCTCTCCATCTCTGTTGTGCGATGATTCTTGACTAAGAAAATGAGCCAGAGACACCAAAAGACTTTCACTGGGGCTGAAGGTTTGCTGGGCCAGTATTTAACCACTCAACTGTTATCGGTTACAACAGATGGCCCAAGAGCCAATGAAAGTTAATCTTTAGTGTTTCTTTGAATATGTAGTGCTAAGGTCTCGTTCCATGCCAGTAATAAAACCATTTTTCAGAAGCTCTATACTCCCTCCTGGATAATAAATGCATCTTTTGATTGAGATAATAAAAAAACATTATTTCTTTTGATGTTCCCAGATCTCCAGTGAGACCAAGTGGAATTTCAACAGACTTTCCAAAAGAATAAGAAAAAGTTACTGGAGTCTAACAAGAAGGAAAACCTTTCATCTGAAAGGTAAAATATTACAAATGTAAAAGGAACTGGAATACACAGAGATATTTTCCTTCACAGGACCATGCAGTGTTGAGACACCCTGGCATAAGAAAGACATTACATTTGACAGTCAGTCTGTGCGCACTACACCAATAATAAGCTTCACAAGTGGTCTTTTAAAATCTGATAGTACATTCATTCTTCATCCAAATTTCTGAAGGATTGGCTCTATTGCCTAATAAATTTGAGATAATATGGATTTAATTCTGCTTCTAAAATTAAATTCTGCTCAATTCTGAAGGGCTGAATGCTAAATTTAGACAAATGAAAAGAAGCTGCACAAGAAAGAATTTTACTCACTGGCTATTATTATCAGTGCCATTAGTGATTGATCTTTATGAATATAAAATTTTAAAATTGTTTTCATTCCAATGCTGTAGTTTTCAAAGACCACCTACAGATGAAAGGTAGAGATGTGAACATGTGCTCTCAGTTAGTTTAGAGATGGGGGACCAGGGGTCATGGCTTAATCCCCATTTACAGTTGGGAAAAGCATGGCCCACAGAGGTTGGTTTCTCTACTCAGAGTCACTTGTAGAGGAGCCGGGTTCTGAAACAGGTAGCCCGAGCGGCAACATGGTACAGTGGAGGGCGTGACTTTGGGTCAAGCTACTCAAGGTCTATAAACTTTATTTTACTTATCTGGGACTATGATGAATAATTATTGACATATCTAAAAAGACTGTTAGAACTAAAGTCAGGTAATTGTATGAAGGTACTTTGCATATCACAAAATAACAGACAGCCATAAATGATTATTCTGACTCATGCTAAGGGCTCTTTCCTTTAGCTTTTCTTTTATTTTAAAAAAGCTGCTTATTTCCATCTTAATTGGTGCTATCCGTATTATCACTAAAGAGACACTTCTCAAAATTAAGCACATCATTTTATTTTGGCCAATCCAACATTTATTTTAGAAAATAGCGCCCTACTCATGCAATTGGCTTTTCTGGTGACTCAGTGGTAAAGAACCCGGCTGCCAACACAGGAGATGTGAGTCAGTCCCTGGGTCGGGAAGATCCCCTGGAGGAGGAAATGGCAACCCACTCCAACATTCTTGCCTGGAGAATCTCATGGACAGAGGAGCCTGGTGGGCTACAGTCCACGGGGTTGCAAAAGAGTTGGACACAACTGAGCAACTAAACAATAACAACTGACACAATTAGCATTTTTGACAAAAGGATAATTTCATTAAATACATACACTTTAAGGATGTTAATTTTTCCATCATACACTTTACGGATGTTAATTTTTTTTCCATAAAAGATGTGAACCAGGCAAAATAGATAGGTGTCTTGCAAGAGTATGAATTACACTATTCTACTCTAGAGCCATGTTTGAATCTACTTTCTGAGAGTAAAATCTGGCTATGCTGCTGCTTCATAGGAAGGAGGGACCTGCGCTCTCAGGGATGTGATCTGTGAGCAGAGAATTAAATGGGTGATCAGTGAACTTCTAGGTCAGGCAATTCGGAAAAGATTGTTTTATTTCAGTCTTTGAAGCTCACCCATAAAACTGATTTGGGACATACAAAATCAGCAATGGGCCAGGAGTAGCTAACTGTTCATGAAACTTCACGCTCCCCTCACCTAAAGGGAGACAGCTGTCCAACCAGGAATGACATTTCTCCTGCTTGCATCCAGGTAGGTCATCAGGCTAATTCCTATCCATGGAATGTGTGTTGAAAGTTTTGTGCATCATTTTTGGGCTTTTTTTTTTTTTTTTAAGCGGCGCCTATTCCAGTCTTTTTCTGTTTATTGTCTGGAACCAGAGAGCTCCAAAGCTCTCAGCAGGATCATAGATGGAAGGTGCCTGGGCCCCCGAGTCATTGTATGGAGAACTGCCCTGCCCACTGATCAGGTTCCTGCACTGGAGCATTCTGTGAGTGAATGGAAACCTGTACTGTGTTAAGCTACACTAAAATTTACGGTTAATGTTAAAGCAACCAGCAAAGTGATACACCCTATTTATAAAGCTGTTATGAAGAGTGATGATGTAGTAAATATACTTCTTTTAATTGAAACATATATATTACCATATGTAAAACAGATAGCTAGTGGGAAGTTGCCCTATAACATAGGGAGCGCAAACAAGTGCTCTCTGATGACCTAGAGCGGTGGGAAGGAGGTTCAGGGGGAGGGGACAATGTGTCCTTACGGCTGATTTACCTGGTTGTACGGCAGAAACCAACACAACATTATAAAGCAATTATCCTCCAGTTAAAAAAAAAAAAGAACCTTGTTCTTAAGAAGTTACCTTTATCACAATTGACTCCATAGAACCCAGGTGGGCAGATGCAGAAACCAGGAGTAACACAGAGCCCGCCATTCATGCATCGTGGTGCGCAGAGGACTAAATGGAGAGAGAATTCTAATTAAGGCCAATAGGGTTTCACAAACAGGACCATTTTGGAAATGTCGGTAATATAACAGGTCTACATTTTCGAGCTTTGGGGTTGCTAAAGTGGTTGCTTTGTAAAGACAGAAGTTTGCTATATTAAAATTATTTTTGTGCAGTACATAAGGTTGTTTTTTAAGCCAATTTCATAGAAGAGAATTTTGGAATTGTTCCATTTGAATGGCTGATTAAAATTTGCCCAGAATCATTAGTTAATTTAAGTAAGATGTGTTCTTCTTTTTCTGCCTTATTTCCTCAATCTTTCAATTTCAAAATCAGTCCAGATGGAGATCAGAACAAGATGGTGGAATAGAAGGACCTTGAGCTCACCTCCTCTCATGAGAACACCAAAATCACAACTGCTAAACTATCATTGATGAAAAAAAAACACTGGAACCTACCAAAAAAGATATTCTACATTCAAAGACATAAAGAAAGAACCACAACAGGAGAGTAGGAGGGGCACACCCTCTACACAATCAAATCCCATATCCGCTGGGTGGGTGACCTGCAGACTGAGAAGAGTTGCAGAAGTTCTCCCACAGGAGTGAGAGTTCTGAGTCCCACGTCAGGCTCCCCAGGCTGGGGGTCTGGCATTGAGTGCAGGACTTGAGTGCAGGAGCTCCACTGGACTGCGGGAAGCAGAGACTCCACTCTTGGAGGGCATACCAAGGTCTTGTGTTACCAAGACCCAGGGCAAAAGTAGTGACTTTATAGGAGCCTGGGCTAGACCTACCTAGTCTTGGAGGGTCTCCAGGAGAGGCGGGGGGAAGCTGTGGCTCACTCTGGGGACAAGGACACTGGTCAGAAGATTCAGGCAATTTTCACTGGCATGAGCTCTCTTGGAGGCCAGGCCAACATTTTGGCACCAAGACCCGAACCCACCCAACAGTCTATAGGCTCCATTGCTTGTACACCTTAGGCCAAACAATAAACAGGGTAGGAACACAGCCTACTCATCAGCAAACAGGCTACTTAAAGACTTCGTGAGCCCACAGTCACCTCTTCTTGTTCAGTCACTAAGTCATGTCTGACTCTTTGTGACTCCATGGACTGCAGCACAGCAGGCTTCCCTGTCCTTCACGATTGTTTAAACTCATGTCCACATGTCAATGATGCCATCCAACCATCTCATCCTCTGTCGCCCCCTTCTCCTCTTGCCCTCAATCTTTCCCAGCATCAACTACCACCAGAGACACCCCTTGACATGGCCCTCCCCACCATAGGGCCAAGACCCAGCTTTACTCACAAGGCACCTCCCCACAGAAAGCTTACATAAGCCTCTAGACCAGCCTCACCCATTGAGAGGCAGATACCAGATGCAGGAAAATCACAACCCCTTAGTCTGAGGACCTAGCCCACCCACAACAGGCCAGACCCTACCCTGGGACCAACTGGGCCCCAGACCTGCAACTAGCAGGCCAACACCAGCTTTGGGACACCATGGAAACAATCCCACTTACCATCACATCAAAAAGAATAAAATGCCTAAGAAGAAACCTATCTGAGAAGACAAAAGATCTATACTCAAAAAACTGTAAGACACTGATTAAAAAAAAATTAAAGACGATACAATCAGATGGAAAGATATACCATCTTCTCAGACTGGAAGAAACAATATTGTTAAAATGACCATACTACCCAAGGCAGTCTACAAATTCACTGTAATCCCTATCAATCCATACAAATGGCATTTTTCATAGAACTAGGACAAAAATTTTTTAATTTGTATGGAAACACAAAAGACCCCTGGAACGGCCAAAGTAATCTTGAGAAAGAAAAACAAAGCTGGAGGAATCAGACTCCCTGACTTCAGATTATACTACAAGGCTACAATCATCAAAATAGTATGGCACTTGCATAAAACCAGGCACAGAGATCAATGGAACATGATAGGAAGTCCAGAAATAAACCTATGCACACCTATGGTCAATTCATCTGTGACAAAGGAGGCAAGTCCATGCAATGGAAAGAAGACGATCTCTTCAATAAGTGGTGCTGAGAAAAGTGGACAGCTCCGTGTAGAAGATGAAATTATAACATTGCCTAACACCATACATACACACAAACATAAAAATCAAAATGGATTAAAGACCTAAAGATGAGACCAGATACAATAATACTCTTAAAGGAAAACATAGGCAGAACACTCTTTGACATTTGCAGCAATATCTTTTGTGATTCATCCTCTAGAGTAATGGAAATAAAAACAAAACCAAATATGACCTAATTAAACTTAAAGGCTTTTGTACAATAAAGGTAACCATAAACAAAATGAGAAGACAAGGGAGGGGGGACCGGGATGGGGAATACATGTAAATCCATGGCTAATTCATTTCAATGTATGACAAAAACCACTGCAATGATGTAGGGTAATTAGCCTCCAACTAATAAAAATAAATGAAAAAAAAAAAAAAACGAGAAGACAAGCTGCACAAAGGCAAAAAATATTTGCAAATGATGTCACCACCAAGGGATTAATTTTTGAAGTGTACAAACAGCTCATACAGTTCAATATCAAAAGAACAAACAACCTAATCAAAAAATGGGCAGAAGTTCTAAATAGACATTTTTCCAAAGAAGAGATAGAGGACTAACAGGCACATGAATAGATGCTCAATATCACTAATTATTAGAGAAATGCAAATCAAAGCTACAAAGACATATCACCTCACACTGATCAAACTGGCCATCATCAAAAATTCTACAAATAATAAATGTTGGAGAGGGTGTGGAGAAAGAGGAACCCTCCTACGCTATTGGTGGGAATGTAAATTGGTGCAGTCATTATGAGAACAGTATGGAGGTTCCCAAAAAACTGAAAATAGAGTTACCATATGATCCTGCAATCCCACTCCTAGGCATATATCCAGAGAAAACCAGAATTTGAACATATACATGCACACCAGTGTCCACTGCAGCACTATATATAATAGCCAAGACATGGAAGTAACTTAAATGTACATTGACAGATGCATGGATAAAGACATGGTATGCATACACACACAGTGGAATAATACTCAGGCATAAAAGAATAAAATAATGCCATTTGCAGCAAAATGGATGGACTTAGAGATTATCATCCTAAGTGAAGTAAGGAAGGGAAAGACAAATATAATATGGCATGGCTTACCATGTGGAATCTAAAAACATGATACAAGTGAACTTATATGCGAAGAAGAAACAGACCTATAGACATAGAGAGCAAACTTATGGTTACCAAAGGGGAAAGGAGGCCCAGAGAGGGATAAATTTGGAGTTTGGAATTTATATATTTATACCACGATATATAGAACAGATATCAACAAGGACCTACTGTAGCTTAGGAAACTATATTCAGTATTTTGTAATAGCACATAAGGGAAAAGAACCTGAAAAAATAGATATATATGTGTGAATAACGGAATCATCTTGCTGTATACTTGAAGCTAACAACATTGTAAATCAAATACTTCAATCCAAAAATAAAGAAAAAAATCAACGCAAACAAGAAAAATTCTTATTTTTTTGAAGATGAAAAATACTTTGCTTATTCCTGTTAAATAAGCTCAGTATATGTGAGCTTGTGGTTTATATACCTTTGTGGTTGAGAGCTGGACACAACTGAAAGACTAAACATGCATCCAGTCGTGTGATTAATAAACATTTTCATGTTCATCTCTTTTTTTCGTATAACTTTCTTAGTAGTAATTTCACCGAAACAGATATATTTACTACACAAATGATCTTCATCCTCCCTTTTTTGCCTAGAGCACCTTCATAACTCAGGTGTAGACTTAACTGTGACTTGAGCTACTTTTAATTGGAGTAGATACTTTCAAATCGGTCACAATACTCTTTTAAAAACCAATTTTAGTGGAGGGAGAAAAACTCAAAACTTCTGTAAGATTATGCCAAAGCAGAGTGTATATAATAGTGAACCCGGGTGGGGGGGGTGGAGGAGAGTAAAAGCGGCCAAAGAGAATGAAGACATTGTGCCAGCTTTCTGCGCCTGCCACCACATATTGATTTAACAGAAAACCACTCCTAGGAGAAACACTTTCCAATAGCTTTCCTGTGGCTTTTTAAGACTGCAAGAATCCATATAATGTGACCAGAAAGACACTTTCAGGGGATGTGCTAAAAATGCGTGCGGGGCGCCTGTGTGACACCCATCTCACTACAGAGCAAGCCAGGGGAGCCGGCTGCCCGAGTTCTTTACCTTTCTCACAGTGAGGGCCGTAGAACCCGTCAGGGCATTCGCAGACCCGCCTTTCATTACAAAAGCCTCCATTTCGGCATCCTCCGGGGCACTCAGCTTCACCAAAGAGAAACAAGCTTTATATAGACACTTTTCAAAACATATTGAGTGAGTTACGGGGAGCATGAAGAGGTGAGCGGTCACATTTTCCCCAGCGCACCGACTGTAATTTATTGAATACCAATATTTCCACTTCATTCTCTCTACATCACTTATACTTTATTATGTTTTCAGGAAAGTAAGACTTTGCTTCTCTCAATCCTACTTTTGACAGTAAGGGTCTCATGGAAGAAGGCAAAGCAAGCTTTATGTTCTTCCTTCATCTCACCTATCAATTTACTGCACTGGACCTTCAATTCACACTGAGACAGAAGGATGGATATTGCCCTCCATATTCATTTTCAGAGGGGGTAATGACCTTTTGGTACATCTCTAGGGCACCAAAAGCCTCCAGAGCTAAAATTCTGTGCTGGAAGAGCTTACATCAGAACAGGAAAGGAGACAGGCCTTCCCTTTCCCTGGTTCCCCAGGCTGTGGTGGGAGGTGACTTTGCCTGGCAGAGATCGCTGGTGAGATGGCAGCGAACTGTTTTCCATAAAAGTCAGAAGGATCAAGCGTTTGGCAGTGGGTATGGGTAGTGGTAGTTGCTGGTGATGACTGGTGACCTTGCTATGAGGTTGAGGACTCCCAAAGACTATACTGGAAGAGGGAGATAAAGAGGTGGAAGACAGAGCATTTTGAAGGGTACTGGCGTCCCTAAAATTGTGAGTGGGGTCAAAGTAGAGCAAGTCTATCTTAGTACTATTCCTGGACCCTGCACTTAGCAGTCCCCCCTCCCACTGGTGTGGTTATAATTATACAAAATAATTAGCTAGCTAGCTACAATTTTTTGTCCAAATCACACCTGGAAGTTTTATGTCTTCTCTAGAATCACCGTCACTGATTACCTTGTTGACATGTTTTAAAGAAGATGGCATTCTGAGGTGTCTGCAGGATGGTGTTGCCTTCAGAATTCATGACAATCACATTCACTTCAAATGCCGCCACTCCATCTTGTTTGCCGAGACATGGGAAACCAACTTGAACAACTAAAGAAAAAGAGAGTATGGAGAAACAGCTTATCTAGTTGATTCCAGTTTTACAGACACTTCAGTAAGAGAGCAAATAACAAAACAAAAATGTTCACATTCCACTATTTGACATTCTTGTATCTCCACTAAAGTAAGGGCTATATTTTGATTATCTGGGCATTCTCCCCAGAACATGTACATCGTGCTGGGTAGAGAAAGAATTAATGACCCTCATTAATTTGTACCCTACTAATATAAAAGTGTATGGACTGTAGTCTACCAGGCTTCTCCGTCCATGGGATTTTCCAGGCAAGAATACTGGAGTGGGTGGCCATTTCCTTCTCCAGGGAATCTTCCCCACCCAGGGATCAAACCTGGGTTTCCCGCATTGCAGGCAGATGCTTTACTGTCTGAGCCTCCAGGGAAGATTAATATAAAACTGAGGATAATCTGTTCATAGTCTGAACTTGTACCATCTTGAAAAAAAGATGGTAAAATTTTCTCTGAAAAGGTGCAAATAGGTAGCTTAGATTAATTAGTTAATTAATTAGGAAAAGAAACTTGGTGAGCATCTTTACCAGTCTCCACATAATTCAAAAAGAGCTAAAAATCAACATTCCAGAAGCCATTAAATAAAGTTCTATAAGCAACACCCCACTGGTTTACTTTTACTCTCTAAGTCTAATGACTTAGACCCTAGTCATTGGACCGAGTTAATGAAGTTAGTATTTCCTCAGGCTCTTGGTCAGTATTAAGAAGTGTTCACATCTCAGGGATTTAGAAGAGTCCGCTGTGGTGAAATAATCTCACAATAGACGTATATCTAATGGTTTAGGTTCCGGAATAGGAGCTACTTCTTTTCAGTGAGACGGACGATCACTTGGGGATCTGGGTGTGACTCTGCAGAGAGTGGGAACTAATGCTGGTGCTGTAGAGAGGCGGCGAGGGGGCCACCAACTGTGAAGTACCCACAAGTCATTGGGCAGAAACTGGCTCGAGCCATGGCTGAGAGGCTGACTACATAACATTTCTGAAATCCACGGGATTACCATCACATGTCCACTGGGGGAAACTGATCTAGCTGATCTACTAGATTCCAGTTCTTCCTTATGAATAGGAGAAATATTACTAAGGGACATACATATGAAATTCTGCTTCATTTTGTTTCTGTGTGGTAGGTTATGGTTATTGCCAAGCCTGGGAAAATCATCCCACACCAAGAAAAATTCTTTCCCTTAAGAGTTTTTATAAAGCTTCTCCCTAGGTTTATAAGAAGAAATGAGCTAGAAACCGATCTTCTCTCTTCCATAAGGCACTGCACACCAGCTGGTCATAAAATCTTCTTAACATGCTTGGCAACTGAAAACCTACTCTCAAGGCTTTGGCATTGTCAGTGTTCGTTACTGTGCCCTTCTCCAAATAACATGAATTTCTTTCCTGAATCTTGAGATCTGACCATTGCAAATAATCAATTAAATGGTGGGGGGGAAAAAAAACAGTTTAACAGAACTAAAAACAGAGGAAAAACCAAAATTGTTTCTGAAGTTCCAAAGTAAAAATGTCCCCATGGAAAACCTTGGTTGAATGAAATCTTATATATGAAAATGTAAGTTTACAAAACACTAAAATCCATTGTAGGGATTTCCATTTCAAAAGAAGGTGAAGGAGCTGACAGGTAATTTCTTTCAATTGTTAACTCTACAATGCATTTTCACTTTGTTCAGATATAAAGTGTTTTTCTCATGACTCTTGAACAGATGGGTAGGCCAGTAATTGCCCTGAGGCATAAAAACATGGAAGAACCTAAAAGACAGAACTTTCAGAATCTGCTTTACCACACTGTTCTGATTTATCTTTTTCTTGGACCTTACTGAGCCTTTACTTTGTAGCCCACCTAATTCTCTTCAAGGCACTTCAGAGTTTTTTTCGCTTTCAAAATCTTGGTATGGAAGAGAAGATCCTTGTATGCAAACTCATCTTCATTTCTGTTTATCAGCATTGTTAAGTTGCAAAACATATCTTAGATATCAAATATCAGAACATGTCTTATAATATGTATGGGAAATTCAGTTAAGAATAATTACTAGTTTGTCCATATTTCCAGATGTGCTAAAAGCAAGCCATTTACAAATCTAAGTTATGAATACATGTCCACATGCTCAAGTCATCAGGGGGTCTTCTAGACAATTTGGAATGTTCTCATGTAAATGTGTGATTAGTTAACATAGCCTCTAAGTTCAATGTAGGTACCAAGATGAACAGAGTTCCCTGGCCCTAAACAATATGAGTGAGTGTCAGTCACTTAGTTGTATCTAACTCTTTGCCATCCCATGGACTATAGCCCACCAGGCACCTCTGTCCATGGAATTCTCCAGGCAAAAATACTGGAGTGGGTAGCCATTCTCTTCTGCAGGGGACCTTCCTGACCCAGGGATAGAACCCCGGTCTCCTGCATTGCAGGCAGATCCTTTACTGTCTGAGCCACAAATAGTCCCACCTAAACAATATGGCTCTGAGCAATACCAGGGAAGAAAAATGAGGATATAAAGTCCAACAGAAAGAAAACATGCCATAAGTAACTTCTTCAGCATTTTCAAGATGAATTTTTCCCTTTAAATGGATAAATATGAATTTGAGTAAAAATAAAAACAGTTTTCAGGTAGCACTAGTGGTAAAGAATTTGCCTGCCAATGCAGAAGAAGCAAGAGACTCAGGCTCGATCCCTGGCTCAGGAAGATCCCCTGGAGTAGGAAACGGCAGAGCTGGACATAACTGAGCACACACAAAGGGTTCATCCATTCAGTAACTACTTCCTGATGTTACCATGTGACACCGTTCTAAGCAGGCGGGTGCTTCAGCAAACAAGATTAAAAACCCCAGGCTTTCGTGGCACTGAGGTCTCAGTGATTTATTTTGGAGATATTTTGCAACAGTGCAATATTTTAATCATTTAAAACATCTAGAAAAATAAAGCAAACATTGACACATGTTTAAAGCTACAGACCAGTTAGAATTCAAAGTAGCTTAATGTTTGAGTCTGCAACTATTGGAGTCTTTGGGTCTCAATTTTTATAACCTAAGTTCAATTTGCCTGTATTGTAACTTCACAACAGATGCATAAATGTCTTCGGAGCATATTGTCTAATGCTTAAAACAGGATCAGGTGGGGAATTGCACTTGCTGTGATCCATTGATTTAGATGGATCACACGGTCTAGTTAAACTTCTCAGGCCTCAGTCTCCTCCTTTTGACATATGATCAATAATACTACTACTAAAGTAGTTTAAAAAAATTTTCTTTTTTTTGGTGTGGAAAGACCTGTCATTTGAAAGGTTAAAACTGCAATGTTACTGTTCACCATCAAACATGTCTTTCATTTTAAAAAGTCATTAAAAAAACTCATACATATAGCATAGTTCTGCAAAATTATGCCAAATGCAAACAAAGGAAAATAAAGTCTTTTATCTTTTTGAATAGGAAAACTTGAGGCAATCTTGGCAGAAAACTAAAGATGTGACATCTTCATCTTCTGAGTAAATCAATAGAAAAGAATTTTTTTACCAATCTAAGATTATACTCAATGAACATTAATATAACAGGAAGTATTTTCTATCTTCATCATGTAAAGGTCTAATAAACTCTAGGTTTAAAATTGTGCTTATTTTACTTATATATTGTAGTTTCGACCTGACAAATTCAACTTCCAGTGAAAGATGAACAGATGAAAAATCCTCTCACCCTAGGTAAAAATATTTTCCCATGTATATTCACCTCTTTTGATATAGGAGGCATGTAAACATAACTGTTATGTTAACCTCAGTACAGAATGATTTGAAAGGAACTAAGAAATAAAGTTCAGAAGTTAGGAGGTACATAGTTTATGAGTTTCAATAAATTCACTTTTAAAGTAAAAGTAGAAATTAATGAAAGTTGTATAAATTACACTAATTACACTTGCCCACTTTTCAGTTTTGAAATGTAAAATAGAGATTTTATTCCTTTTCTGCAAATTCTACTTGTCCTGTTTTCTGTTTATAAATTTTATCTGTAAAACTGTTCAGGTAATACGAATTATAATTTAACACCTTTTTAAACATATTTCAAAGAATTTTGCTTAGAAAAACAAAACCTGACTTTAGTTAGCCTCATTTTCACAGACGTGTATATAACCTGTGCTCAGCTCAAAATAGATTTCTGTCAGTTCCCAAACGCGTGGTGCATGTCCGCAGCGCCTGACTCTGCACACCCCTCCTGCTGCCTGGAATGTTCTTTCTCCTCTTTTCTGTCCAGAGTTCTCCCACTCACCTCTCAAGATCCAAATTAAACAGCACTCATTCTCTGTTGGTTTCCCTGACACCCCCAATGGCATCATTTCACATACACCTCTGTATACAGTTGCATTATAATCTAATGAGATGATTATGATTCTGCATCCTTTCCTAGGCTTCCCAGGTGGCTCAGTAGTAAAGAATCCACCCGCCAATGCAGGAGACACAGGTTTGATCCCTAGATCAGGAAGATCCCCTGGAGAAGGAAATAGCAACCCACTCCAGAATTCTTGCCTGGGAAATCCCATGGACAGAGAAGCCTGGTGAACTACAGTCCATGGGGTCACAAACGAGTCAGACTGAGCCACTAAACAACAGCAAACAACAAATCTTTTGCTAAGAATGTGATTTTCAAAGGGAAGGACCCTATGGTATGTGTTTCTATAACCTCAGCACCTACTACATTGTCACAAGCTAGGCACCGACAGTAACAAAGATATACCTTATGGGAGACACATCCATATACCTTTATATACACAGACACACACTTGCACATATACATGTGCACACCTGCACACATACACAGAAAGAGACAGAAATACCCCTTAGGCAGTGGGAAACAGAGGAAAATATGAACAATGTGCACTCAGAAAAAACACATGCATAAAGAAAAAGACCTCAAAGGGACAAACAAGCACAGGCTCTCTATTCCCAAGGAATAACAGAAACGTGAAAGTCACCATGTGCTTTTGCAGCAATAAGCCTATGAGTAGAGAGTCACTTTTACCTAAAGCTAGATGCAAATGAGGCCAGATGTTGTGAATTCCAGTGCCATCGAGGTTGTATAATCGAGACCAGGGTAGATTACAACAACTCAGAAAAACTCAAGTAGATTGAACATAACTCACATGGCATTCAAGGACACTCTGATGTGCCACCAACTGCACATAAACTAACTCTTCTATAGATGTAAACAAGAAACTCATTCTGATTAAATAGCTCTCTACACTGAGACCAGCAGTGCTCACACAATCTCAGCCTTGGTCACGCAAGCCACTGCCTCCCAACAAAGGAAGAAATGAGAAAGGCAGGCTAGGCCAGAGCTCATCCTCCATATTACATGATTATATGCTGCTCCATGAATATAAGGCATTCCACACAAGTAGTCATCCATGCTCCACACAGTGCTGACCACCATTCATTCTCCCCACAATACTTACTGAGCAGCTACTCTGGGCCTCACTTTCTGCTCAGAACGGGGGTCACCGAGAAGAAGATGGTCCGCCCAGCATGAACACCCATTTGACAATTCCTACACATTGGATTTCTGATGGTCTTGGTTGAGAAACATTCCTGCTGCCTTGGTTTCATGGGATGACAGAGACAGAGTGTTCCAACAGGCCAAGCCTTGGCTTGATGGAAAATGTTTTTTGTTATCCAACTCAGGCATTTTATTGAACCACCCTGCAGTTTGTATTTCCTGTTTTTGTTCCCTTCTGATGCCAGAAGCCAGGCACTTCCTAACTGTTAAAGATCAAGAGTTTTCGATTTCATGCAATGCTTAGGCACATAGGAGTCTGCAGGATAAAAGAACACCTTAGCAGCTTGAGGATATTAAATAGGCCAGCGGAGTAACAAATGCTACCTGGATGCTTAGGAGCAAGACACACTGATTTGATTACTTTTTAATAATTCAAGTTACCCTCATGTCTCAGGCTGGGGGTACTGAGCTTAATGAGGCAATGAATAACTGCCCTGCGATGGACCAAATTCCCATAAACTTCCTGCACCTGCATTTCTGCAAACAAGTCCTACATCTGCTTCCAAAAACCTATGTGGTAGGAGAGGAGGGTGTATGTGTGTGCGTATGCACACACATGCATGAGTCACCTCATCCCAGAAGGTTTGTTCTTTAAAAAGAACAAACTAAAGAACAGACTAAAGTCTTACCTTGTCTAATGCATCATCCACTTTCCCCTCTACATTTGATTTATAAAGATTTTAAATTATTAGTAAATGATGTTTTCTCTAAATGGAACCAATTGAAATATATCATATATTCAAAACCTTACAGTTTCAACATCCCAAGAAGTAGGTTTTCAGTAAGCTTTTTTTCCCCCACCAGACACAAAAAATTAATAAAGCTGGGAAGATTTTGGAGACAAGCATTTGATTAGAAGTCTAAAAATACAAGATTAATTTTAAGTTGAACAGGTGTCACTGTTCAATTAATTTAATTAATGCATTTTCAAAGGGTTAAATGAGTTTGCAGATTTTTAATAACAGAAAACGATGAAAGAGAAATTCAAAAATATAAAATTAAAATTGAGAGACATGTTGTATACTTCTTATTCCTGACCACTTCTTAAAAGAGCAAAAAATATCAAGAAAAATTTTATAGAAAATTATCTTTGACCAAAAAAGAACATCAACAAGACAAGACAAGGCACAAGACTGAATATTCTAAGAATTTGGTGGTCATATTCTAAGAACTTTGGTGGTCATATTCTAAGAACTTTGGTGGTCATATTCTAAGAACTTTCTTGTCTCCATGATGCAGCAGTATGCAATAGTACAAGCACGATCATCTGAGCAGAATTGGGGTGTCCCTGTATTTGGAAATGGATATTCACATCCTTGGGGCTATAAACCTCAGTTAAGTATATCTCCAGAACCCAAGGCCTTTTCCTTCATGGGAGCTTCCATCTCGATCAGAAGCAAATCTTCTGAGAGGGCTGTGAGTCATAGCAGCGGCATTGGGATGACCCACGAGAAACTCAGATTCACTCTTCCTATCTGTACTCACATGGGCACCTATGCCAGAAGATTCGAAAAACTCTGTGCTTATTTAGTCCCCAACTCTTACAGTGCTGGGATGTGTCAATACAGATACATTTGGAAGTAGTAGATAATAACAACTTGAAAACGGACTCTGTAAGGGTGCCTGATTTCCTGTTTCATCAAGTTAAATGAGCTCCATAGGGAGGAAACCATAGACAAAATGAAAGGGCAACCTATGGACTAGGAGACAATATTCACAAATGATGTGACTGACAAGGGGCTAATCTCCAAAATATGCAAACGATTCATACAGCTCAATATCAAAAAAACGAACCACCTAATCAGAAAATGGGCAGAAGATCCAAACAGATATTTCTCCAAAGAAGAGATGCAGACAGCCAACAGGTACATGAAAAGATGCTCAGTATCACTAATTATTAGAGAAACACAAATCAAAACTAAAATGACATACCACCTCACATTGGTCAGAATGGCCATTGTTAAAAAGACTACAAATAATGAATGCTGTCCATCACAAATGAAAGATAGTTTTGACCACACAGGATTTTAAACCCTCCTCAAAAAAAAAAAAAACGTAAATGATAAGTTGAAAAAAACTACAATCAACAAATATTTTACAATGAGCTTTGCAAATTAATGAAAAGAACCACAAAAAATGAGTACAACACACAGACATTTTACATTGTCTAACAGATACAAGAAAATAGATTCCTACCTCAAAAGGCATTTAAAAAATCAAATCAAAAGAACATTGAGAAACCATTTTTCACTTTTTAAGCCAGCTAAACAGCTAACATGATTAATAACCCATGTTGATGAGACTGCAATAAGTCAGGCTCTCTGCCACACTGCTAGCCAAGGTACCAATGGGTACAACCTTTGCGGAAAGTAATTTGGGATTTCGGCAGTTTGTCCTAAGAGCCTTTAAAAAACTTCAAGTTCATATCTTTTGACACAATAATTTTACCTCTAAGAAACTATTTTAACAAAATAATGAGATGAACTTTAAGATTCTGCTACACACATTAATCCAACAAGTGTTTTCTGAATGCCCATTCTATGCAGGGCCTTGTATTGACAGTCGTGATGTATTGTCCATCTATTACTTTAAAAAAAGTATGGTTACTGTGATGTTTTTAGTATACAAAACCTAAAAACAATCTAAGTAACATACAATAAGGAAACATAAATTATGGTATGTTCATAAAATAGAATATTATAAAGGCATTAAGAACAACTTTTGGAAAAATCTGCAATGACATGGGAAAATGCTTATGTTAAAATATTAAAAGCCAGAAAAACATTATGTAAAAACAATATATAGTATTACTACAATTATGTAAGAAAAATAGACTTAAGGCAGAAGGAAATATTGCAACATGTTAACATAAGAGATCTCTGTATTTTTCTAAAAGTCATAAAACCTGGGCTCCAGTTTCAGCTCCACCACTCACTACTAATATATGACTTTGGGAAAGTCAGTTAAACCTCACAAGCCTAGATTTTCTAATTTGTAAAATGGAGATGTAATTCAAGCCTTGACTCTCCCAGAACGTGAATTAGATAATGCATGAATTGGTGCTTTGTAAGCTGAAAAGTTCTAAATACCTAACTGCATACTGTACTTTCTAAGCAGAGAAGGATGATTAGATCTGAAAGACTGAACCCTTTTCTACCACTTTGCATGTCTCTTCTCTACTTCAAATTCCTATTAAATACAATGTTCATTTAGGGGAAGTTTTTCTTGATTTATCCCATTCCCTCTCAATCACTTAATTTGCATCTTTGCCACATTTATATGCATTACATTAATTAGCACTTGTTGCCAAGTATATTTCATATGGTGACTTTCTTTTTTTAATCTGGAATCATTTATGAACTGAATTTTTAGGAAATTCTAAAACTTCCATTTCTTCACGCCTATCCTAATGTTTTGTCCAAAGGAAATTGGGACATAACAACTGATTTGCCCTAAAATCAATAGCTCTCTTCAAGAAAACATCCTGTAATCTCTCTGATGGATGACATCTGGATCTAAAATAGTATTCCCACCACTATTATATTTTAAGCATAAACCTTTCTCTGAGGCAAAGACCACCCACCTGACGCCTTGTGAGGCACTGTTCCCAGAAGAGGGACATTGACGGTTGGGTCTGCCATGATGCCTTTATCCAAGGAGCGCAAGGACAGGAATTCATAGAAGTATTCTGCCTACAACAAAAGGCATTGACAATCAGTACCATGGAAACCACAGAGAGTGGGAAGGCACTTCTCAATTCATCATCCCTCTGATGGAATACTGACATTTTTCACCATAGGAATTCTGGAACACACGACACCTAAAATATTGTGTAGGCATAACTCTCTCTTCTGGGTTTTAGAACTCTAGAATTAAGACTGTTGGAGAGAAGTGATTCTTTCAAAACATTAATAACACATATCCAAGATATTTACAAGGTAGTCTTTTAGTGTAAAAGGATTGAGAAAAATGCTCTGAAGGAAATAGGTGATGTCAAAACAATCTTCAACTAGCCCTTATAAAATCCATCTGTTTCTTGGGTCATTCTTTAATTCTTTTCAAATGTGAAGTGAGGTTTTTTTAATCAGAATTTGGAAAGACATAATAAATAAGTGATAGTGAAAGAAGAAACCTACGTGCAAAAGAAGATATGAAAGTCCAAAGTTTAATGATCTTGGTGTTAACATCTATTTTTCAGTATCATTCCCTTTGGAAGGTTTATATAACATCTCAATTTAATTATGGAGAGAAAAGCCTAAAAATGTAAAAACCACCTCTGCAATATGACAATGAGCCATAAAACTTTACATTGTAAACATTTTTCACTTTCCCACTGAGTCTAGTTGAGAAAATGATGCTTGTTACTTGAATGGCCACGAACTACTGAAAGTAGTAATGTATAATCTCACTGTAGAGGTTCGATGCTTAACTGATTCTCATCTGGGTTATTAAAAGGACTTGTAATGGAAACAATATGCTCTTGCTTAGGAATAAAGAACAATCAATAAATCATACAGATATCAAAATGAGAGTTAGGCAGACTAAGTGGTTCTGCAGTTATCTGCAGAGATATCCAGAATTTGGATCGGTTAATTAAGCTGATTACATAAACATGGGCTAGGAAGAGGTTTTAAAAAAAATACAGCCTTTCTTACATGCAGTATAAAAAATTTACATGCATTACGAAATTTATTTTCCAACATGGAAAGATACATGGTAGACACTGGCACAACTTTCTGCTGTAAGTCACAATATCAGTGAACTACGCATTAAGAACTTCATGAGTAAGATCATGTAAAAGGTTAATCTTAGAAGGTAATCTGTAGGGATACTGTCTACACCTGTATCAAGTTGAAAAGCACTTCAAGGTTTTACCAGGTCAAAAGGAGCACCTTCATTAACCAAAATTCCACTGCAACTGTTTCTTTGACTTGTGTCAGTGGTTCCATAAGACCACTGTGAAGGGTTCCCTGGGTGGGTAAAAATGTTGTGTGAATTAATTTTACTAAATTCATTCATTAGGAGGGCCTTGAGGATAAAGGGTCATCAAAGAGTTAATTCCTACCTTGTTTAAGGGAAGGCAGAAAATTGCAAGAAGTCTGATGAAAGGAGTATCGTCAGGAAAGGTCATTCAATTGAATGAATTCCTTTGAAACCAAGAACATTAATTATGTCCCTTCAAGAAAATCAATGATTATTAAAAATGGGCTACTTCTTAGATGGCATTTCATGAATTCAAGTGTTTTAAATGACTTCTACCAGCTGTACTTCCCTCTACACTTAACTAGATAATATCTATCATTTCACATTTTGTTCTAAAACATATCTTGGTTGGCATTATAAAGGATTTGATGCTGTATGCCTTTATAATTAATAACTTTTGGTTATTTATATTACCAAGTACAGTAATAATAACTAGCAACAATAAAACAACAATCACTCATGAACTGCATACCACAAGCCAAGACTTACTCGAAATATTTGTATTTGTAGTACATTTAACACTGGAAAAGGGCTGGGTGAACAGAGTGCAAATATGTTGAAAATAAAACAATTCAGTTTTATTGAAAATAAAACAGTTTGAAGCTATATTGCTTCAAATACTACATGTTATCATTTGCTGCTCCATAATTATACCTTTGAGCTTTATCACATTATACGTTAAATCTGTGTTTATGTGGATGATATGTTTTAAAATTGCATTTATAAAAACAAATAATTTCAGCAAGTTTTAAAAATGATTTTTTGGGTTAATAAGAAAAAGGATGAAAGACAAGAGATGAAGATTAAAACAATGACTGCATAGGATTGATGGTAACTGATTTTTTGCCTTTTCTCTCTCTCCCAAATTTTCTACATGTGGTTCCACGCCTTTCATAGTGAAATAAATACACTTATTTAACAACAGACATAAATCATATACCCTGCTTTCAGTTCTGTGTGGCTGATGATAATCACCAGCTCTGCCTGTATAAATCTCTGATCATAGATGAAATATTCTTCTTAGGTTTTTATTCAGCATGGCTGCGCTCAGGTAACAATGTATTCAAATCTCTTGTTCTTCTTTCTGAAAGTATGCTTCAAGAAAACAACACTCAGTATTTAAGCAGCTTCTAAATGTCTCTTTCAGAAGCTTTTGATGATGTTCACCCAACGTGGGAGAGAAAGAATTTCACCGAGTCCAAAAGCGTAACTTCACAGAAACTTTGGGTCTCCTGTTATTATCGTTTCATAACAAACACACACGACCTTTGCCAGTTCCTTTTAATTTTTTAAAATTATCATTTGGCATGCTTCAAGTCTTCGTCATGGCATGTGGGGTCTCCGTTGCATCTTGCAGGATCTTTCCTTGCGGCGTGCGGTCTCTCTTGTGACAGGCAGGCTCAGTAGCTGCAGCACGTGGGATCTAGAACACACAGGCTCCCTAGTTGTGGCACACAGGCTTAGTTGCCCTGTGGTATGTGGGATTTTAGTTCCCTGACCAGGGACTGAACCCGAGCCCCCTGCATTGCAAGGCAGACTGTTAACCATGGACCACCAGGAAAAAGTCCCTCCTGTTGTTTTTCAGTGTGATCATGTAAGGTGGGCTGGGAAGCATAAATGTGCTACATTCAGTCCCAGCGAGTCTATAATTAGCGTTGGCATGACCTCACTGCAGGATGTAGCTGGGTTTAATGAACTCATCTGGCCAACCAATACTCTGATCTAATCAATCACAAATTTCACAGTAGGGTGACCCTTTGATTTCTTTGAGAATCAGTAAACATCATGGCTTTTCTGCTACAACTCTAAGACTATCACAAAGCAGGAACTGGTCAAAACAGTTTCTTCTTTGGATTTTATCAGCAAAAGACAGTTGCCAGAGAAAACCATTTTTATTTGTTTGGCTTTCTTTTTAGAGATATTGATGCTCTAATCTCTAAAATAAACAATTTTCTTCATACATGGTATATTTGTTTTTAAAAGAAGTTTGTTTATGTCCACTGCCTTCTTAAAAACTCTAAGTTGAAAATCACTTAGAAATTGACCAATTCTTTGTCTGATAGTGGAACAGACTTCTTTCAAAGTTTCACTGTCATTATAAAGCAATCTATCCAAACCACCAATACCATATAAAGGTTTTCACAAATAAATTATCATCACCATGAGGTCGAGATGAAATATATTCCTCATTTAAATTAAGAGTTTAAATACTTCCCTCAAAGTCATAGAAAATGGTTGATGAAATAAGTGATAGATTTATTAATGTTATAACTCCTAGATAGGATGTTCTGCTTTTACTTTATTTATAATAAAATAAATATTCTTAGTCCCAAACTCTCTCCTGGAAAAACTTATCTGGGGGCATATAAAACCTAAATTCTATGCCAAAGGGAACAGAGAGCTAGCTTTAAAGTTTGGGAACAGGTCTTACAAACTTCAGATTTATTACTAAGATAAAAGGAGCTCAGAGTACTAACTGCAATAGGGAGGGGGCATGCTGGAGAGCATAAAACCTCTATTAGGAAAAAGTACATTTTGTTATACTAAGTGACACTAGTGGAAACTCAGGTAGAAGTAACTAGGGTGCTTATTTGGGAAACACATGAAAAGATTGCCTTGTACTCAAACAAAGAATGGGTCTATTCAGAAGAATAATTCACTTCTAAATTAAGTTGCTGAGAAATCTTGCTGGCCTGGTTTGCCAGGCAGTAAATTTTCTTTTCATAGAGAAGTATAAAAGACACCCAAATATTATCAAGAAAGGAGTGCTGGAGCCCATTTAACTTGCTTCCAAGCAACTTGGCTGAATATTCAAGTTGTTCCTTCCCGAAGAGATGAAGACATCATTTAAACAACAAATGGGACAACTCAGAAGGCCTTCACTCTGGCACTCTTCTTTGGGGAGACATAGAGAAAGGAAGCAGAGAACTGCATTAACCATTGGAGGGAATGGAGAGAATCCAGTATTTCTTTTTCACCTTTGAAGTTCCGAGTTTATGGTGTACACTTAATCTAATAAGCACAATAATTGCAGGAACCTCTGAGTTAAGAATCAAAGGTTCTTCATAAACCCATGGCTCTCAAACCCTTTTCAACTTCACGTATTATGATGTTGGCCTAAGCATTCATGGGAAAACACTAAAACAGTAAAGGCATCTTATCTGTCCCCCCTAAAATTTCAAGTAACTAAAAAATACAGAATATAGTGCTGTAAAGTTTGAAATTTTACAAATAATTTTTGCTAAGTGTTTACTATACTCCAGTCACCGTTCATTTAATTCTGACAACCTACTACTATTATAGCATACAAGTATGTTCCGATTAGGCCCTGAGCGTGAGAATTACTAAAGGAATATAAAATAGCTCCTATACAGTATGTGAAAGGCAAGAAGAAATCTACTAAAATAAGCAAGGAAAATAGTTCAATGTTTAAGTTCCAAACAAAACGAATAAGCATGCCTGATGTTTAAAATAATCTGACGCCTGAATGTCTAGACCCCAAATTGCCAGATCTCACATTCTTTCTCAGCATTCTTCTTGTCACCTCTCTGCAAAATTTCATCCTTCAAATTCGCAACTTGTTATCCTTGGATTCTGTGACAGTCTGCTGATTCTTCTCCGACATCTTGCTTTTCCTGCATTTCCTTATTAAGGCTCCTATCAGCGCACAATCTCAGAAAACTCACTAGGACCCAAGCTTCAGCTCTTC